CTTCTACACTTATTAGTTGGTATTCTACTGGAAACAAGAGCTTTTTTAAAAAATTTTTTATTTCATTCATTCATTCATTTATTCATTCATATCAGTATGGACTCAAAAATTCCTATTCTATTCAATGGGCTATAATTCATTACTATCGTTATTTATTTTGAGACTTAGATTGCCTCAGATTTGATCAGTATCAGCCCCTTCCACCTGAGTCCTATGTCAGATTATGTTTACACATTCTTTGAACTCACCTAGTTCCTTAGTAAAGAAGGAAAAACTTATCTTTTTTTTTTAATCCTTACCTGAGGATATTTTTTCCATTACTTTTCGAGAGAGTGGAAGGGGGAGGGAGGCAAAGAGAGAAAGAGAAAGAGAGAGAGAGAAGCATCAATGTGAGAGACACACCCTGCATGTGCCCCAACCTGGGCCGGTGATCGAGCCTGCAACCAAGGTAGGTGCCCTTGGCTGGAATAGAACCCAGGACCCTTTAGTCCCCAGGCTAATGCTCTAACCACTGAGCAAAACCAGCCAGGGTGGAGCAAATTATCATTTTTAAAGAGTCTTCTTAAAACAATTCTATTGTTTCGCCTGGCCGGGTGTGGCTCAGCGGTTGAGCGTCTACCTAGGATCCAGGCGATCGGGGTTCGATTCCTGGCCAGGGCACATGCCTGGGTTGCTGGCTCAATCAATGACTCTCTTATCATTGATGTTTCTCTCTCTCTCTCTCCCTCTCCTTTCCTCTCTCTGAAATCAATAAAGATATGTTTTAAAAAAGAAAAACAAAACAATTATATTGTTTGTATGGGTCCAGTGTTCAGGCTTTTGCTAATTGAGCTTTGTTATGATTACATTCAGACAATGGCATTAGTACACTGATCTTTTCTCTTTTTTTAACTTTTTGTTGTTGTTATTTATTTTTATTGAATTTATTGGGGTGACATTGGTTAATAAAATTATACAGATTTTGGGTATACAATTCTACAATACATAACCTGTATATTGTATTGTGTGTTTACCACCCCAAGTCAAGTCTCCTTCTATCACCATTTATCCCTGCTTTACTTTCTCCTACTTCCCCCTAGTCCACTGGTCTTAATTAGCATTTGCCTCCTATTCCAGAATAATGTCATATGCCTGCCAAATGTGGCTCAGCAGTTGAGCATCCACCTAGGACCCAGGAGATCACGGTTCAATTCCTGGTCAGGGCATATGCCCAGGTTGTGGGCTCAATCCCCAGTCGGGGGTGTGTAGGAGGCAGCCAATCAACAATGACTTATCATTGATGTTTCTATCTCTCCCTCTCCCTCTCCCTTCGTCTCTCTGAAATCAATAAAGATATACTAAAAAAAGAGAATAATGTCATAAGACAGGGAAGACTTACTAAATATTATACCTTAGACAGAAAGATTAAGGGCATGAATAAAAGTTTAAACACAAAGTTTTAAAGCATCTGTATTGAAAATTAATTACCTTAAACACAATTAAAGTTAAAAACCATCTAGGAAAAAAACACTTTCAGTATTTGACAGACAAAAGGTTAATACTTTTAATATATAGATGCTGTTAAATCAGTAAGATATAAAGAGCAATAGAAAAGGGGCATATATATGTGTGTGTGTATATGTATATACATATATATAGAGAGAGGTAATTTGCAAGAGAACAAATACAAATGACCAAAAAACATGTCTCAGCTTCATGAGTGAGCAAAGTAGTACCAATTACATCAGTTGAAATTATCTAAGCGAAAATTTGTGACCCATAACATTAGCAGAGATTCCATTTAATGCCATTTCATTTTCTCAAGGCACTCATTTCTTATGGAATTGTAAATTGGAACAGCTTTACTATAGGACAATTGGATGATATAAATTAAAAGCTGTGGTAGGTTTTGGTTTTATGGTACTAGGTAGGGGAAGTGTTCCCAGTCAGATATAATATCTATTCCCATAAAGCATTCAGATAACGGAGACAAAACCTCCTCACATAAAGCCTGTTTAAACATTACAATTTTCATTCAAACTTTTAGCTTAATCCAATGGTCAGTAATAGGGTTATTATTATCATTATCAATAATCTTACACATTTCTATATTCATTCAATCTAATTGTAGCCCATATTAGGGCTTTACCAACAGATGGTGGCTGGTGCCACAATGCATGAGGCTCCTGTGTCAAGGAATGTCAGAAACTTCTCTTCTTCACTCCCTGACCGTTTTACTCACTGCTGTGCTAGGTTTTGGTCCCCAGCCACAAAACCCTGGCACTTTTGTCAGTCTTTATCTTTATTAATTTGACTGACTGGTGGCCTAGATGATTCCAGGTCAGGGTTTCACTGTATTCATTATTTTCCAGTTTTTAAAATTCCTCCAAACTGGGGAAATAGAGCAGGACTTGTTTGGGACATTTAATGTTGGGGGACCAGCAGGAGGTCCATTTGGCCCAAGCTTTGACACAGTGCTGTACTGGGACGTTTTTTAAATACTCATTTTATGCATCTGGTAGCTAGGCTAAGCTATGATGCTCCCACAGTTAGGTGTATTAAATAAATTTTCACTTTAGGATATTTCCGATTTACAATGGTTTGATCTGGACGTAACCCCATCGTTAAGTGGAGGAGCATGTGCAGTCTGACTATCTTGCTGTCTTACGACCATTTAAAAACCTCACCTTTGCATACGATCTGTGGATAATTGTCAAGCCCTGGTCTTCCCACTCTCCTTGTCACTTACATCAAGCGCTCCGACATAGCACGGTTATACCTGCCATTAAACTGTCAGAACAATGTTTAAAAATCTATGCATTCGTTAAACTACCTGAATCCTTAATTTTCTAAAAGCAAGCACTCAAAGAAACCCAACTGGTCTCCCGCTCCCCACGACCCCTCGGATGGATCATCGCTGGAGGGTTCTAGAAGAGACAATTCCTGACCCCCGGATTAAAATTCAGTAGCTTCACTGGGTGAAGGGCAGCACCATGCAGTCTGAAAGCCACAGACGCGGCATATCCGCTGTGATATTACAATGTCACTAAGCCATGCTTCCATTCTGTCAGCAGTGTTCGTTTTTGATAGTTTTGCACTTATGCCACGGGTCCCTCAGGAGCAGCTAGTCACCGAAACGCGTTCTGTGCCCTCCCCTGAGGTGCCCAACACCAAGCGGCCTGCGGGGTTACGTCGTCAGGGAAGCCAAGGAGGGACCCAGAGCGCCAACCCGCGGAAGAGCGGGCGGCGGGGGCCCCCAACAGAGGGCGCCCGCGCTTCC